GTATATAACTAGAGGAATCTAGTTCTGTAATTATGCTTTTCTTCAAATGGTCACAATGCTTTCTTGGCACTAAAGTTTCCACATTGTATGTTCAGTATCTGTGAAATGTGAAAAATGAATCCTGTAATCTGAGAGGCCTTTTTACATACAACCATGACCTGAATCCATTCTTCCTTCAGAGTCACCACAGAGAAAGTCCATCATAATTGGCTTCCTACCCTCAGCAATGCTATACCCAATACTCAAATCATTTGTACAAAAAGCTCTTGCCATTTTAGTTTATCACATAAAATATAATTTATATTTTGTTATAAGTTTTTTGGAAAAACAAATTATCTTACCGATTGCCACTAAATTAAATAAAGCCTTTTAAACAGGTCTTAATTTGCTCAAGAGGAGGAGCTGGCAAAATTTCTGCGTGAGCCCAGATAGCAAATATTTCTGGCTTTGTGGATCATATGATTTCTGTCAAAAGGACAAAATTGTGCTATTATAATGCAAAAGCAGCCACAGGCAATATGTAATCAAAGTGGCTGTGTTCCAGTAAAACTATGTTTACAAAAACAGATTTAGCCTACGAGCTGTAATCAACCTACTTCTACTCTAACAATGAATGAAAATGCTGAACAAGTTCTCCCAACACCAGAACCCATAACCTCCTGATCCTTCCAGAAAAGCTATAAGCCATAGGGTTCCACAGAAGCAATTAAATGTGTAAATATTCATCAAGAACCAAGTGCTATATGAAAGCCATAAGCTGGAAGTCCCACCTCTCACATTAAATATGCCACTACCATAAATGCTGACCATTTACACCATAACAGCACCACCTCTCAAAAGGATTCTGCATACAAATACATAGGCACATTCTACCGTTGGTCATTAAGGGAATTCAGACTGACTAAAGATGAATTGGGGAAAAGATGTCATAAAGCTGAGTGTGATTTAACAGTAAATTGGTTCTAAAATGTCCCCACTGGGAGCTGTTGCATTGTGGTAAACTGTGGTCAATGACATGAGACAAAGTATATGTGAACTGCTGTATGGAAAGTGAATTTGCTCTGTAAATCTTCACCCAAATCAAAATTATAAATAAATAAATTAATTAATTAAATGTCCCACTGGCAAATATTAGATGTTTAAGATCAAGGGTTGTTCAAAAAAGTAAGCTTACAAAGTTATTATTATTTTTTTTAATAAATAATGTATTCAGTAGCCTTACAACAGTTTTCAGTATTTTTGTCAGTTCCAATTAGGCAAGTCATTATAATCGCTTACAACCTAGTTTACCTCATTTTAAAACAGCCTTTCTTCCGCATACGTAACCTCCCAATGATGTATATCCTGAGAGTTGGTTCTTTAATCACAAAGAAAAAAGTCTTCTCTGTAGAAATTAATCATAGCTTCACTTGCTAATGTTTCAAAGTAAATTATTTAAGTACACAAAATAGGTAAGGCAAAAGTGTGGGCAAAATTGAGGGAATGAAAGCAGCAATTTAAGACAGCTGCATTAAATGAAAATACAAATTAAAATCCAACCTATGTTCTCTGCCAAAATTCTGTTCTAGAAATTCTGAGGAAAATATTTGATTCCATTATTCAGAAAGTTTAAGGCACTATTTAAATATTTATAATAACTCTCCTTTAATACTAGCGTATCATCTTAAAAATACCTTGTAAAAGTATTTGTTGAACAACCCTAGACACAAAACAAAGGATCATATTCCCAATCTATATTTGATTATTCTTTTTAAAGCACTCCACCAAATTAGGTAAAAATTATATGCTTGACCATAATTTCCAGAGGATCAAATTTAGCACTTAAAAAAAATAATAATAATAATCTATAAATCCTTAAAATGAAAGGAATTCTATATGCATATTCTTCATAAGTAGTTTGGTTAGTGGTAAAATAGATTTATGAAAGATCAAAATTATTGTATTAAATAAATATAAGTTATATGCATTTTCTTCATAAGTAATTGGGTTAGTAAAATAGATTTATAAGCATTAGATCCAAATCTTTATTATTGAATACATTCAAAAGGGGGAAATAACTCCTCTACCTTTCCGAAGTATGGAAGTGGGAAGACTGTGGAGGGCAAGAGCTAGAAAGGCCACCCTCAGGAGCAACAGCAAGATGAGGGAGGGTCCTTTTGTAATCTACCAGGCTACTGGACACCACACGATAAACATTAAAAGAGAGAAAAACCATAGTCAATTAAATTAAATTAAATTTCACTTTAATGATTGGCCTACTCTCAATAGTAACATGTATAAGAAAAGGAAAATACTTAGGCATGTGACAACACTGAAGGATTACATGCTGAAATCAGTAAGATATCAGCATGAGTTTTGTGAACCACAAAAACAGGAAATTGCAAAAAGATCTATTTCATTTTCTATTTTATCCATATGCCCATAAAATATTGTTTATCTCTGGTCATATTTAGTGCTTAATCAAACCGCATATGCCAAAAATCTGATAATTTGTTTTGCCAACTGTCTCTTTTAAATAAAATATACACTTTCAAGTATAAAAATGTGTCTTTTTATCCTGATTTGTAATTCCATTTGACAGTAGTCAGGTCTACACAATCTAAAAGGCACAGGGGATTTATAAAGTAAAAATATTAAAGACCGAGAACTATATTCAGAATTGTGCTCAAAATTTTCTTTTAAATTCTTAAAATTAATGTATAGTTTTGAACATACTTTTCAATTTATTACTTAAAAATATTCCACATAATTTTCTTCTCAAAGTATTGTGTTTTTTCCTCCTTAGGAATTTCTGTCCACAAATCTAGGGACAGAAATGTATGAGGTTCTAGAACAGTCTCTATCTGTACTTTCCAATGATAGCTACTAGCTACATGTGGCTACTGAGCACTTGAAATGTGGCTACTCCAAATGGAGACATGCTGTACATATAGAGTACACAACAGATTTTGAAAACATGTTATCAAAACAAAAATATGAAGTATTTTATTAATAATTTTTAAAACTGAATTACTTATTGAAATAATATGTTTTGAACATACTGGGTCAAAAAAAATGTATAACTAAAAATAATTTCTGTTTCTTTTCCCTTTTTAAATATGGCTACTAAAAAGTTTGAAATTACATTACTTAGACCACTGTTTCTTGATTTATCATCATCATCATCATCATCATTATTATTATGACCACTTTAACAAGATATTTTGAGACATAATTTTTCCTAAATAGCCTCCCTTTCCCATGAAAGATATACTGTACATCTGTTTATGTACTGTGGGCCCTTTAGAAGGTCACAAACAATTATAATATCTAAAAAATTTTGCCTCTCAAGAACCAGTTCTCATCCCACTGGTGAGAAGTCCCTGGCGAGAATGTATGATGTAGATCTTTCTTCTTCCCCAGTCTTCTATCTACTTAAAAGTAAACTCTCATACATGCTCAGTAGCCTTCATTGATTTAAAATTCTCTGGAATCTTTATTTTAGGATGGTGATTTGCACACTGAGCAGGTATATTCTCCAAGTCCATACCGGAACTCTACGGCAACCTAAGATCTCATCTCAGAGAAATAAATGCTCTTGACTTCAGCAGAACAGATTAAAGCATGGACAGAAGGTGTCATTCTAATATTCCTGAAGGGATTCAGTGGCCCCTGAAGCAACGTCTCTGTTCTTAAAATGTACTTTAGGCCCAAGTATCAAGAAAGGTTTGTTGCCCTGTTTTCTCCTGTTAACAATTACCCTTAGGTAACCAAATGTCATTATCACCTCAAGGGAGCCAAGGGTCATGCCTGGAGATGGATTATGCTATTGGACAGAATTTTATTATCTATACAAGTTTGCTTTTCAATGCTGATTGATATTTCACTAAACTTTATTTTTTTATGATCCCAATTATTTTATTTTTTCCTTATATTTTACTATGTTATTAGATATGCTTCCAATCACTGACTTCAAAGTCCTCTGCCCTGGGTCAGGTGAGCAAGCACACACACATAAACACACAAGAGGAATTTACCTTGGGTTAGGGGACCACTCTCTGTCTGAATTAGGGTAGGATGCTGATTGAGTGTAAGTTGAGGCTGGGGAAAGATTTTCCTTAGGAGCATCATCTTGGAATGGAGGTATATCACTAGGAAGAGTTCTGGGAGGAAAAAAACAATTATTAGTGACATTTTCATAATAAAGTTTCAATTTTTTCTTGACTATCTGTAAGTGCTTTGAAGATTAATATGATCTCATTTTAAACCTCTCAGGCATATTGCAGGCAGTAGAGAGGATAAAAGTAAATAAAGACACAAATTAATGGGTGTATATTTATTTATGTTTTGGGTGAATTATAAATGTAAAACTATTTTGTGTGTGGATTTATACATGCACATAATGATTAGACTACTTGCTATTTCCACTGTAGCACCTTCCACACTTCCACCCTTCCCCATGTACAGGTGGAACTGCTGAATAAGTGAATGATATACATACAGCATGCACATATCTGCATGTTTCATCTGCCAGAAGAAGTAAGTGATATAAATCAAATGTATCTTACAATGGAAAGTGATAGCAAAAACACTTTGTTACAGGTCTAAGTACACTCATTATAAACTATGATTTAATATTTCATTCATCCAGAGGTCATCTACCTGTATTTGTAATGTTACCTGAACTATCACCAGCTTCTATAATTAAAAGACATGCAGGGGAGGCAACTCTAAGAAGCCCAATTAACTAGTTTCTTAATCCGTAACAGATTAGAAGCTGTAGTTAGGAAAGGAGCACTGTTACTTTGCCTTCATTTTTAGTCAGAAAGAAAAAATCTTATTCTGAATAATGAAAATAGGGGGAAATACTCCTGATGTTCCTCTATCCCTTCTTTATTTTAGAAAGATATAAAAGTAGCTATCAAAAATTACACTGAATTGCATAAAAGTATGAATGTCATGCAAAAAATATTTGCAAATGAGTTTTGTCTTTTAAAATTGGAACTTTTCACCAAAATAGTAACATGGAAAAACAGAATTTCATCACAGTTAAAAGCAAAGAAAAATGGAACAAAATGTCCATTAAACTTTGGGCCTACTCAAAATTAAAAAGGAAGAAGTTTGCTTGTAGAGAAACCTACTTTATGCTCTCCCTTCATTTTCAAAACTATCTATATATCAGCCTATTTGCCATGCACACAGCTAGTATACAAATAAGAACAAATAGGTTCTGAAACAAAGGCTCAGTTCATGGACTATTGATTTGCTCAGTTCCTGTCAATGGTACTCTTCGGAACTGCTGATGTTGTCAGCCAAGGAGTTTTGGCATTATCAGCTATATCTTGGTTATAAACTACATCTAATCATTATGCTATAAGATAAACTGCACATAATTCCAAAATTTAATCTAAAATTCTTAACAGAAAAATAAGAAATTTTGGGGGAGGGCTGAACTCCATTAAATGGGGAAGAGAATGTTTGTTTAATAAATGGTGTTGGCAAAACTGGATATCCATTTGCAGAAAAATGAAACAAGATCCGTACCTCACACCATACACAAAAACAAACTCCAGATGGATCAAAGACTTAAATATGAAACCTAAAACTACAGAGTTCCTCAAGGAAAAACTAGGGGCAAATTTAGGGGCCTTGGTAGCATAGTGGCTAAGGCACATGACTGCTAACCAGAAGGCTGGCAGTTCAAACCCACCAGCCACTCCTCGGAAGGAAGATAGGTCAATCTACATCCATTGTGATACTGCCTTTGAAACCCAAGGAGGGGTCACTATGAGTCGGGTCCAACTCGAGGGCACATAACAACAACAACAATAATATATGGCACAAATAGACTATCAAGCATAACTCAAAATGCACAAACAACAGAAGAGAAACCAGATGATTGGGACCTTCTAAAAATTAAATTTTTATGTGCTTCCAAAGACTTCTTCAAAAGAGTCAAAAGAGAACCTACAGATTGGGAAAAAAATATTTGGTAATGACTTATCTGTCAAAGGACTTATCTCTACAATTTATACAAAACTACAACACCTCAACAACAAAAAGACAAACAATCCAACTAAAAGATGGGCAGAAGACATGAATAAACACTTCAACAAGGAGGATATTCAAGCAGCCAACAAACATATTAAGAAATGCTCATGATCATTAGCTATTAGAGAGATGCAAGTCAAAACAACAATGAGATATCATCTTGCTCCAGCACTAGTAGCAAAGTTCAACAAGACACAAAATAACAAATGCTGGGGAGGATGTGGAGAGATTTTAGGACTCTCATACACTGCTGGTGGGACTGTAAAATGGTACAACCATTATGGAAAGCAGTATGGCAATTCTTTCAAAAGTTGGAATTAGATATACCATTTGACCCAGCCATTCCATTACTAGGCATATATCCTAAAAAAGTGAGAGCCAAGACAAGAACAGACATGTGCACACCCATATTCATTGTAGCAATATTTACAATAGCCAAAAGATGGAAACAACCTACGTCTCCATCAACTCAGGAATGGATAACCAAGCTATGGTACGTACACACAATGGAATACTATTCAATGCTAAAGAATAATGTAGAATCTGCAAAACAC